TCTCTGTCTCTTTAACTGCAGCAGAGCCAGGCAGCGCTGAAGTAAGAGCGGTAGCGGCTCCGTCGGCTCAGAGCTGCGGTTCGTCTTCGTCGTCTCAGAGCTGCGGTTCGTCTTCGTCGTCTCAGAGCTGCGGTTCGTCTTCGTCGTCTCAGAGCTGCGGTTCGTCTTCGTCACGGGCCGCGGGGCAGTTTGAGGTTTTTGGTTACGTTCACAGAACAATGACTTCCACTGGCAGTCACTCCGTGGTTTGGCTTCCTCTCCTCAGAACAATGGCTGTTTTCATAAACAAATCAACTGCAGCCACATAAACACTGGAGGAATTATGTTTCCCTAAATTACACTGAATGATTCATACAAATATATATATAAATATATTCACAAATATATTTATATATAATTTATAAGAAACAATCAGACGTGTTGATGGTTACGATTATAGCAATGATTTGAACTGGATAACACTTATAACTAGTTAACAATAATACATATTTAACAATAACTAATTACCGGTACTAACTAGTTAACAATACCTAGTTAACACTAATGACTAGTTAACAACATTAATAGATAATAATAACTAGCTAACAATAATACATAGTTAACATGAATAACTAGTTAACAAAATTAAAAGTTAATAATAACTAGTTACCACTATTAACTAGTTAGCAATACCTACTTAACACTAATCAATAGATAACACTCATAACTAGTTAACATAATTAATAGTTAATATTAAAACTGGACAATAATAATAATAATAATAACTACCTAACATTAGTAACTAGTTAACAATATCTAGTTAACACTAATTACTAGTTAACAAATTAATAGATCATAACTAGCTAACAATAACACCTAGTTAACATTAATAACTAGTTACCAACAGTAACTAGATAATAACCTCATTATTTTCATTAACCTCTTCTTTAAGTCTCTATTTCTTCAGTCAAAGATCAAAATCCAACATGTTCTGAGGAGACGAGGCCTGTCCTGGAACTTTCTGACTCAGTATCAGTCTACATAGTCTACAATAGTCTGGTCTCTACACCTTGAACTCCACGACGGCTCGTTGCACTTAATCCCCGAACCCACGTGTGTCGAGGGGCGGGAGGGAAGGAAGACGTCTCCGTCCTCATTCCCCGGGACAAGGGAAGTCTGTGAGCAGCAGCAGCAGCAGCAGCAGCAGCAGCAGCAGTCTGGTCCAGCATGTGTTTATATTTACTGTACGTTAGGAGGACTTGGGTACAGGCCACCACGCCACCACACCGTCTCACTCCACCCTCAGTCCAATTAAGGAGCACAAGGAGCTGCTTGACTCCCTTTCTAAACCCTGGATGACAAATAACTGTATTGTACATTGTTTGATCGTTTGTTGGCAGACACACACACACACACACACACACTCACTGTGTGTGTGTGTCATTAGGTGCTCTGTGTTATGTCTGCCCACAGAGTGAAATGATTTGTGTGGACCGGCGTTAACCAAACGTGGACGGTGAGACTGGAGTTTGTGAGCTCGGGGTTTCCAGCTTGTTTCTCCTCCTCAGAGCAGCAGCAGCAGCAGCAGCAGCAGCAGCAGCTTCAGCAGCAGCTTCTGCAGCAGCAGTAGCTGCAGCAGCAGCAGCAGCTCTGGGGCTGTGGAGCCACAGTGTTGTTGCACTGGGAGCTGCTACTGAAGGTCTCGCCTGCAGGCGCTGTGCAGATGTTGCCCCCGGCCTCTGGAACATTCTGGAGTTACCAATTATCCAGGTCCATTCTTTTCAAACAAAGACAGTCCACGAGGCCAAACTTTTCAATTCACCCTTTTTTTAAGACGCGGAGACGTTTTCCTGGCTGTAAGAAGCCGATCGCCGGGTTGAATTTTCTGTCCATTCATCCGTGCGCGTCACGGTGTTACTGAGTCAGGGAGGAGACGATAAAGAGGGAGACCCAGGGGAGGAGGTGAACCAGAGAAGACGGAGATCTGAAAAACATCTCCGTCTCCTGGGGTTTGACTTCCACGGCCGAGGCTTCCCTTCTGGACCGGTTCCCAAAATGCAAAGAGGCAGAGTGGGAAAACTGGGAAAACAATAGAGACCACAGAAGGAGATTAGCTTTGTCTGCAGACTAACGTCGTTAGTTCAGCTTTAACTGATTTATATTTTTATAAAACTAACTCTGACACATTTAATTTTTTTTTAAATTTTTGACGAGATTTGCAAAAATGCAAATATTTAGCGTTTCTTTGGCTGTTAGCTACACTACACACTAAAAGTTTAGGGTTAGCGGCTAACTTCAGGTCGGCTATGTTTAAGCTAACATGTAGCTATATTTCTGATTAGTTTGAGTTGATTTTGATTGATCTTCTAAAGATTTTTTATAATTTTTTTTAGCTAATTGTAAACTAATTATACTACAGTTTTTGCTTGACTTTGACAATGACAACTTACAAACTCAGACACTTTTCTTATCCTTATCTCAGGTCTATTTTTTTTTTCTATTTTTAGCAGCTAGCCTTTAAGCATCTTTTTGCTCATTGCTAAGTTTTTTTTTTTGACTAACTCAGATATTTATACTCCCTGATGGACTGGAGAACTGTCCAGAGTGTAACCCCGCCCCCACCTGTTGACAGCTGGGATTGTCTCCAGCGCCCCCTGTGGCCCTGTGAATGAATGCGCTGTAGAGAATGGACTGATGGATGTTGGCTGTTTCCAAGAGGATGGACTGATGGATGTTGGCTGTTTCCACTCCAGCTTCAGATTATGAAAAACATTTTATTTTTGATATTTTGAAAGTCTTTGAAGCCCTCGCTGATTTCTGTCCTCGATAGAGACGTACGATTGCTTTTTAATTGGTGCGTGGGCATTTTTAAACGTTTGTGAGCAGCTCTGGGGGATAAGGTAATCTGACTCAGGGTATTAGGAAACACAGGATGGAATTCAGTGACTATGAGATCTTTTGGTTAAAGGAATCTGAACTCAATCAACTCCTGAAACGCAGTCATTTTTGGGAAAACACGCTCATGCGGAGGTCAGACATTCCTGTTTTTCTTTTTTTCCCCTGAGCTAATGGCTAACGTAGCCAGGAGTTATCACAGGACGATCAATGCTCTGATTTCTCACACTGTTAAAGTCATGAAAGGTTTTTCTTTTTTTTAAACAACCTCAAACTCTCTTGGAGTCTTGGACTCAGAGGTTCTTACCTGGTTTTCTATCAAGAAGAGTTTCGGGAAAAGACAGAGTCTTGTTGTTAGCGATGATCGCACAGACGTTATCTTTATTTAATTGCGTTTTTCTGTCACATTGTTTTTGAATTTCAAACATGCAGCCTGCTCTTCCAGCTCAGAAACTTTTCAGCCAAACATCCTGTACAGGTTCCTGTGTCAGGAGTCGTTCTTTCCCTTCCAGCCTGGTTCACCGGTGCTCTGTGTTATTCATAGAACCGCGCACCGACGTGTGAGCGTGTGCAGCCCAACCCGACCAGACGACCCAACTCCAAAAGACTCCGAACTCTTTCCTTCCTCCTCTTTCTACAACCAAAACAGGAATAGACCACAGTGGCCCTGCTCTACTTCCAATCCGACCCGCTACACTTTTTCAAATTATTCCAAATAATGTATTTATATTAGCATTATACTTCTGCCTTTTCCCTGCAATACACATGTTTCCCCAATAGATGGCGTAGAAAATGCAAAAGGGCATTTTAGCGTTTTTGCTTTCATGCATGACTTTTACACGTCATTTAAATTTTAGAAGATGTTGCCAAGAGGTGAGGTCAATGCTGAAGAGTAGGAGACCAAGTATAGAACCCTGGTGGACGCCGTGAGTTACTGCGAAGAAAAGACATTTTCATGCCTGGACCTGGATACAAAATTTAACTAAATTTAACTTTTTTTTAATCCTGATTTTTGTTTTCCTGTCTGTCCTTTGTCAATATATATTTTTTATTTTATTTTTGATCACTTGTGTTTCGTGTTAGCTGCTCTTTATTTCTATTTCTGACACCTCCAACACAAACAAACTTTACGTCACCCGATCCGTTGTCAAACAGCCCACGTCCATAACCCACGTGCTGCGACCTCAAACGACCCCTTTCACTCCTCGACCTTCACTCATTTCATTGTGAGTGGTTGAAGAATCCTGTTAATGAGGCGGGAGTCCGGAGAAAACAGCTCTGGTTTCCTTTTCAGTCTCTCAAATTGGTTGAAATGAAGCTCTCTTCATGCCTCATTAGGGAGAAAAACAAATTAAATTAGCTTTTTCTAAGCACGTGTGTGTTTTTCCAGCCTCTCGTAATAAGTACCGGCTCGATGCCTGATGGGAAAACCCTCTTTGTTGTGGCGTGTTTCAACGAAGGAAAAAAGGAATAACCAGAGAAAGAAGAAGTGGGGAAAATGGGGATAGGATGATTAAACGAGGGCAACAGAAATATTCCTATGAGAGAAAAAGGAGATTTAAAAACCGAGGCCAGTTGTCAGTTTCCAGTCCGTGCGTATTAATGAGCCCACCAGCTGCTCCATTATGCTGGGATTCCACACAGAGATGAAGTCAAGGTTTCTCTCGTCCGCCGACGTCGCTCATCCCTCTGGTATGACGCTTTTTTCGGAGGATTGCATCAGATTTCTCTCCGTCTCTGTGGCTTTGTAGTCTGCTCTCAGGTCTGATGAGAATATCTGAGGAAGTGAGATCATGATCTGCAGGTCAGACGGGATGACGTCCGTGCTGCCCCCCCCCCCCCCCCCCCCCCCCCCCCCCGTTTTCATCTCTCTTTTACTAGCCTGTGCTGATTGACGCTAGT